CAAGTGTTGAAAAAGAGAGTAAAACCAAGAACCAAGGCAAAGTTTTCTGAGCACAGGCTGCAGCCTTCTCCTCTGGCCATCTTCCACCAACGTTATTTCTGAGTTACAGGGGGGTGGGGAAGGGGGAGGAAGGACTCGATCTCCTGCTACCGCAGCTTTCCCCATCACACAAAACTGATGTGTAACTAACTCAGCCACAAGGATACAGGAAGGTTTTATTTATTTTAAAAAAAAAAAAAAAAGCCTAATCCTTAAAAAAAAAGCCTAATCCGTAATATTGGAATATTTATATACATAGTTTTCTTTGTCTTTTGTTGAAATGTCTCCTGGTCACTTGGTGGCATTTGGGGTCCCCTCTAGCGCCGTCTGCCCTGCTCCCCCCTTCCCCTCCCCGGCTCTCACGGCTCAGTAGACGGAGCTGTTCCTTATGCCACAGCACAGCACCATGCTCAGGATCATTTCGAAGATCTGTCAGGAGACACAGGGGTATCAGTGAGATGCTGACCAGTACGATACGGGAGTTCAGCCCCGTCCCAGGGTCCCCCACTCCATATAAACACTCTCATGCCAGAGAGAAGGGCAGAGGTGCCACGTCTTTGCTGCTGTTTCCACCAGGAGTTGGCCAATTCACGATAAGGTGATGCTCTCCCCTCTCACCAGGGTATGTTGCAAGCCTCCCACTGCCAGCGACGCAGCCAATGCTTTGAGATCCCTCTGGCATTACAGCCCAGCCCTTGCACGGGCACTGGGTCACCAGCCCACACCACCCACCACTCACTGGGGAGCAAACCCACCATGGCAAAGGATGCAAATCCCTTCCCCCTGCAGACCCCAGCCACAAAATCCAGCAGCCTGAGAAATGAGCAGTTTGGAGGCAGCGAGGAGGCTCCACGGTGCTCTGCCCGTCAGGATGGGGTTGCTGGTTCTCCTGCTTTACTGCCCTCCCCAAACATCCCCACCCCGGAGCGATGACAAAGCCCTTGGTCTCACCACATCCCAGAGCAGCTGGGGTGCAGAGGGCTGACACCACACACTGAGCCGCAGGGGCATCGGAGGAGGGGGATGGACGGATCCAGCCCAGCTGGAACAGGACCAGGGCACCCCGAGGCAGCTTTTCCCCGTCCCACGACAGCAGGGCACCGCGCAGTCACACTTACCATGATCACAGCAACCACGATGGCAGCGATACCGATCAGGTACAGCTTCCCGGAGAACAGCTCATCGATCTTTTTGTGGCAGTTGGAGGCCTGGAGCAGAGCAGCACGCCGGTCAGACAGCCCGCCTTCCCCTCGCCCGCCCCGGCACCCAAAAAAGCAGCTCTGCTTCCCCCAGTCCTGCTTGTGTTCCTGGGTCCTGGCTCTAGAACTTCCCACCAGACTTCACCCCTCCATGCCTGCCAGCCCCCTCAAGCAGGAACAGCAAAGGAAGAACCGAGAGGAACTTCCAACATCCCTCTACACCATTCCCAAATAAATCAATTCTCTGCCCTTTATCTCATTCCAAATAAACCCCAGAATTTCCCTGGCAGCTGAGTTTCCTTCCAGGAGCTGCACTGAGTGAAGAGCAGCCATGCCTACCTCAATGAAGTTTTCCAGGAGGGAGTCCCCTGAGCAGAGGTCTTTTCTCCACAGGGGAGTGATAGCTCCTATGACATTATCAGGACCACAGCAGTTCAGCTACATGGAAAGAGGAGGAAAAAAAAGAAAACAAAAGCCAAAAAACCCCAGTATTAGCAAACAGCAATCACTCATGCAGTGCTCGCCCCACCACTAAACATCCTTGAAGCCACCCAAGACCAAGGAGGCATCTTGGAGAAGGAAACGAGGGGGAATAACTCTCCAAATTTGATCTTTTTTCTTCCCATGCAATGCAGCTGCTTCCTACAATAGTCCCAGACAGGTCTGGCACTGGTATCCTGGAGGAGAGTGAACCCAACTCTCTCCAGAGATTCTGGTT